TCTGGCCTAAACCATGGACTTGCAAGCATTTCCGGTGGCTGTCACGTTCATGACGTAGTGCCCCTGTCCACAAGGGATATGCTGTAATAATCACAGTGGATGCCTGAAACCATGGATAGTACCAAACCCTATAGGTACACACCTGTACATACACACCTATGATAAAGTTTAATTTATAAATTAGGCACAGAGATCAACAACGATAACTAATAATAAAATAGAACAATTGCAACAACATATTGCAATAAATGTTATGTGAGTGAGGTCTCGCTCTCTCAGAATACCTTACTGTACAAAGTGAATGCCTTTTCCAGCCTAAGTAAGCACGTACCGTGCACAGTGGCCGTCACTTTCGTAGTCGGAGGGACAAGAGCAAAACGAGCACAAACTTCTTTTTCCTTCCTCACAATTTCACAGACAGAAGATTACTTCTTGCTGTTGATCTCAGCAAGCTCAGCGTATTTTTTTCTTTATTGAGAACATCCACCGTTTTGCTGAAAGGAGGCGGTTCATGGACGCTCTTTGGCGTGTGTGAATCGCCTGCATCACTACTCCTGTGCTTTGGGGCCATTATAAAGTAAGATAAGGGGTCCTTGAACACGAGCACTGCCATGACACTCGACCTGATAACTGAGGCACCTACGAAGTCACTAATGGGGATTCACTGAAGACAGGGATGATTCCCAGCCGGGAAGGAGCGGGACGGTGAGACATTTCCCCACACTACTCAGGGTGGCGCACAATTTCAAACTCATGACTTCTTTATTTCTGGACTTTCCCAATTAACATTTGTCGACCTTGGATGATGGCAGGTAACTGAAACCTTGGCAAGAGAAACCAAGGGTAAGAGGACCACACCAAATCCTACCACATCACGGTACACACCAAATCCTACCGGTCAGCACCATAGTGAACCAGACCTTCTGAACATGTGTCTGTGGGGATGTTCAGAGGCTGCACTGGACGAGCCTCTTCATTCCTCTGTCCCCACACGTGCTCAGCACTTGCGGTCATCTCCTTTCTGCTCCCCCAGGCTACCAAGGCCTTCCATCTCTTTCCCTAGGCCATCCACTGTACTGTTAACAGAACAGCCACTCGAGTATGCGAATATGGCTGCGCTAGTCTCTGGCTGACAACTCGTCCTCAGAGGTTGCCTATGTCAGTAAGGATGAAGTTCACATGGGTTTTCATGGTGTAGCGTATCTTTCATGAACTGGCCCGCTCAAGTCCTTCTCCTGCTCGCTGTGCGCCTGCCCATGTGTTTCATGCCGTGGGCATACTTAGTTAACTCAAAGTCTCCGGTCCTAGACCCGTTCCTATGGACACCGCAGATAGGTCTCCCACCATCTTAAGACACACTTCCTGGGCCAAGTCTTTCTACTTAAGGCTTAGCTTAAAACTCTCTCTTACGGACCTAGAGATGATCATACTGAGTGAAGTAAGTCAGACAGAGAAAGACAAATACCATATGACGTCACTTCTGTGTGGAATCTAATTTTTAAAAAAAGATACAAATGAACTTATTTACAAAACAGAAGCAGACTTACAGATATTGAAAACAAACTTATGATTACCAAAGGGGAAACGTGGGTTGCGGGTATAAATCAGGAGCTGGGATGGACACAGTATTATATATAAGACAGATGACCGATGGGGACCTACTGTGTAGCACAGGGAACTCTGCCCAATATTCTGTGCTAATCTATATAAGAATCTAAAAAAGAAGGAATATACGTATATGTATAACTAAGTCACTTTGCTGTACACCTGAAGCTCACACAACATTGTAACTCAAGTATGCTCTAATAAAATTCAAAAAACACAAAACACAGCTGTATGTGAATTTCTCTGTGACTGTATATCCTCATATGTTTTCTCTTCACCTTAAATATACCTGCACTGAGTACTTACCATTTTGGTTGTATTTGTTTTCACAGGAATCATCCCACTAAAGATGACATTATCTAGGGACTTCCCTAGTGGTCCAGTGGTTAAGACTCTGAGCTTCCACTGCAGGGGGCATGGTCGGGAAACTAAGATCCTGCATGCCATGGGGCATGGCCAAATAAATAAAAATAGATGCAAAAAAAAATCCATAATGAACAAAAAAATCAAAATTAAAAAAAAAGAAAGACTACATTATCTGGAGAGAGAACCTTTCGTCTTTCATCTTAGTTTTGTTGAGTGTGCCAAGAACACTCTATTTTCTATTTTCTCAGAGCAAAATAAATAAAGGGATGTTGACATGTTTCTCTCACCTTGAACTAATGTCTGGCCTGAAATACCAAAAGAAGAGTCTGTCTTACTGGCAATGAAAGTAGCTTTACCCTCAAGTTACTTCTGTTGATTAAATCTAGCACTCTCCATCCACACTTCCCCTTCAACCTCAGATCAAAACACTCAGTGCAATAAACAAGTTGCTTGGAAGATTTAATGTGGCTTCTGCAGGCCTCCAGTTAGTTTCCAGACACTAAATTGGGGAACTCCTGTTTAATTTACATCCAGACTCAGTACAGGAGTCACTGTGGTAAAGCAATCATTTTTGAAGACCCAGGAGTTCAAACGGAGCTGGGTTTCCAAAACATCATTAATGATGAGACACGGCTACAGCATTTCCTGAGAGTTCCACACAAAAAGGATTTAGAGCAGTTCAAATAGACTCACCACTTCTGAGCTTCTGTTAGGAAAGAAAAACACAGCCAAGAATTCTTCACTCCCTTCACCAAATCTTTTCTGGTGATGAGGTCACAGGCTCATGAAGATGCTCGACTCAGCCTCACAGAACAGAGAGCCTAGGAAGTCAGGGCTGGCTGAAAACGAGAAGCCCGAGTGTCTGCTTGAAGAATGTACTTATCGCCAAATTGGGATTCTGACAAGGCTCGCTTTTGCTGCAATTGTTTTCCCCCATACAGTGGAAGGAGAGGAGCCTCATTACACATAACAAATGCATCAACAAATGTAGTTGCAATGCCTTTAGCGTGTAAGGATGATAAAGCCTGGACACAGAACTTGGTTTCCAAGCCTGGAATTTCTGATGAGAAGTTCCTCTCGACACTTGCCAACACACGTTCATTTTTTGTAACTCTCAGTTTTATAAGGAAAATTGCTTCTCCGTGCCCTTTCCGGCCCAGACTAACAGCAAAGGAACTGTGATAGCATCAGCATGGAAGAAAGAGCACAGTTAATCATGTACAAAGTAACTATCCAGCCCTGAGAAGCACTTGGCTGTCTGGCTGGGGTGGGGAGTACATACGGTCGGCAATATTCCATAGAACAATGATTTGGGTCATGGTCGGCAATATTCCATATAACAATGATTTGCATCACCAAAATAAGTCTATTTTAACTGTTTAAGTCTATCAACAGGGAAAGATTTTTGTCTCTTTACTTTTATTTTAATGACCTTTTTGGGAAAATATGTTAACTAATACTTTAAAACACAGCCCCTTCTCCCCTTTTGAGTCTCCGGTGGGGAAGGATGGGTGAATTATATTCCACACTGGTCAGATCACAGGGCATCATCACCACTGGTCTAGGTAAAGATCCTCTGCTCTTTATCATGTGTGCCTTTTCATCACTATTCCTCACCCCAATGTTGGGAACTATGTAATACGTTTCACAGGAGTTATTTGCTCATCTGTTTTTATGAAGTGTGTAGCGTTTTATGTGGGTTTCATGTTTATGTAAATCATATTGATATACATTCCATTATGTGTTCATATTTTCACCCCCAAACTGCGCTTTTAACTTCTATCCAACTTTTTCCCTTCATTTGCTCACTGAGAGAGTGGTACCTTCTTCCTGAAGTCACAACCACAAGGTTACCTTGAAGCTTCTGTATTCCCTTTTAGTTCTGCCATGAACTCCACAACCACAAGGAATTAGATTCACCCGCCCCCCCCCCCCACAAACTGAGGGAGCTTAGAAGTGGATCCTTCCCTCGTCACGCTTCCAGATGACAACACACCCCACCGGATACCTTGACCATGTGAGGCCCAAGAAGAGGACCCAGCCAAGTCGCACCCAGACCCCTGACCCATAGAAACTGGGACCATGTTTGAAGCTGTTCAGTGTGTGGTCATTTGTTACACAGCCACAGCTAACTGATACAATTTCCCATAGTGACTTCAGTCTCCTCAGAATCAACTCTCTGATCCAAAGACAACCTGGTGGAACAGAAGCACAGAAGCTCTTTGCTTCCCTTGGTCTTCACTGCTCCCTGATACACCAAGGTCTATGACCCAGGCACCTAATTCTCTTGACTATGATATCAAGTTTACAGCTCTGGGTTCACAAGGTTCAACTATTTTGATTCAAATCAGTGACTTTGAGCAACTGACTGGCATTGTTTGTACAACAGCTATTAGAGCACCCATCCCATATTTATACAAAGAAGTTTAATGAGATCATTCGTGGACATCTTCAAAGCACCACTCAGCACTTGACAAGCACTCACCAAATAGTCACCATTAGGGTCACTGCAGTCTAACTAAATTTAACGAACGGGAGTTTGTGTGCCACAGAGAACGCTAGGCTCTCAACAGTGGATGTTAAAGCTAAATGAATAAATTGAAAGAAATAACAACGTTGTTTGCTTGGGAGAGATGAATTGAAGGAAAATTATGGAATCCATCAAGACCTTCCACTTCTGGACACAAACAAGTGATTGGACTTTGTTCTCCCTTGACTTTTTGATTTCAAATCTAAATTTGATTTGAATATTAGGTCTCCGCATGTTTAATCTTAGGTGCCTACAGCATCATGGACCACAGGAACATTCTCCTCCCACTGGAGGAGATGGAACAGTGATATGCAGACAAACATTTCACACTGAGCCTTGTCGGCCACTTCATGTTATTCTGGAGGAGGTTTACCTTGTTGCAAAAGCTTGAGTCTCAAAATGCAAAACCGAGGAGCAGGAAAAGGGCCAATCCGAATGCCTCCCTGAATTATGTAAATTTACAAAACAGTGTTTCGTCACATCAAAAGGAGCTGCATACCTGGAACTTTTCACCGTGACAGCTGCAGAAAAGACTGGCCTCTTTTCTCTTTCTCCACTCCCAGAGACATGAAGCATCTTTCATCTTTTCCTGCAGAATCCTTCATCCAACAGTAGCCACTTCCTGCTCTGACTCCTGAGCATGACTCGTTCACCCTGTGTTTGCAATAAACACACATTTTCATGAGCTCTCCCGTTCTCTAATCTCTCCCAGGGTCATGCCAAATAGAACCGCAGTGAAGTCTGTTTAAGAGACCATCTGAAACACGATAATACATTTCTGACATAAGACTAACCTTGCCATGAAGGATGGTGGTGGCACAAACTTATGAAAGTGGTTTCATATTTGGGGATTTACAAGGAACAGCAATGCGGGGGGGAAAGAGCCACTCTCCACAGAGCATCATGATGCGAAGATGGAAAATGTGGACAGATCAGAGGGGAAAAACAGTGTATGCTGTTGGAGAAAAATCACAGTATCATGTAGGGGATGGCTCATGATGGCTCTTAGGGCAAACACAGGCCCCCACCTAGTTTTGTAAATAAAGCTTTACTGGAACACAGGCACACCTAGCTGCTTACATGTCACGTATCTTTGGGTGCTTACTCGCTACCCCAGCAGAGCTGAGTAGTTGAAACAAGGACCGTACAGTTCATAAAGCCTGATGTATTTACCATCTGACCCTTTACAGGAAACTATACTGAGCCCTGCAGAGCAGGTAGAGCACGGGGACTGTGGAACCAGTGAAAGATTCAGATTCCAGCTAGTAATTGCATCTTGTATTTTTGGTATTGTTGACAGGACTCAAACAGGTTAGAGCTACATCTAGCCCAGAGCATTAGAGGTGCTTACCAAATGGCTGTTATTTTCCCATCCCTCATGTAGACAATTCAACAAAAAGCAAATCACCATGTTTCCATACCTCTCACAATATTATTTCAGAGAAAAGTAAACATAGCAAAAGACATCATGAGTCAGTGCGCTTCGGCGTGGATCAACTACATATTTTCTACAATATTCACCAAAGTTCAGCTGAGAATTTCCTAACTAGATTTAATTTAACAAATTACCTTCCATCAGGATGGCAGGTAATTTATTAAACATTACACTTTCTGATAATTTTTGGAGAAGAAAATTTATTGAAAATTGGATCCCAAATACAGGTAAAGATATAATGGAAAATCAATGTGGATGACCTACTATTTATACCTTTAGGTGAATGGGATCCTAAGAATATTATCACAGTCCTATGAGTTTTATCTTTGATATTCAATTCTAAGGTACAATTTAAATGGAATAAAGGTGACATTGTTCTTGGAACAAAGGAAAATGGCAAAGTAAAGATAACTGAAAAACTATAAATAGGTTGGAAAGGGAAAAAATGCCAAATGTGGGTGAGGCTTTCGATTTGACTTTTATTTTTTGCCACTCTGAGCAATAGAGGCCGGGGTGAGCTACCAGTTCTTCTAAAAGCAGCCCTGTGTAAGATCATGCAACAGCGTCTGTTGTTTTCACCCACCTCTGCCCTCCAGGGCTTCTCTTGTACTCCTGTGTCTTAGCATCGATAACCAGGAGATGGTCCTGTCTTTGGCACACCTCCTGCCCGTTTCACAAAGCCACCTCCTGCTTCCTGGACCGAATACAACTGTTTTTCCCCAACTCACTCACCCTCGGTCCCCACCTCTTCTACTCCACGTTGTTTCTGGTCCCAACGATACAACTTCAATAATATTCATTTGCATAACCCCGATCTTGCTGGCAAATGAAAGGGGCATTTCTCTAGCACCTTTAACCAAAGTGTCCAAGAATTCTGTGAAGCCTGGCCGGCACGGAGGGCATGACATCTACTCAAAATCTCCAGCCGGTGACAAGTCAGAGCTCTAGGGTTTCCTTTGCCACGGGGTGCCAGTCCAAGGTTGCTGGCTGGAGAGTCTGGGAGTCAGTGTGAGGGACTGTGTCAGGCTCGGCAGTGGTCCTGCCCCAGCAGACAGCCAACAGCACCACCCAGGTGGGTGGGTGATGCCATCACTGGCCCACTGGAAGAACTCCAGTTGGACGAAATAAACATCATTTGATTAAATAGCCATTTGGATGATGGAACTGCCACAAAGAGGTAGTTCTGTGGGCAAGAGCAGACTTACTGATCGGAAACATGTGTTCAAACCCTACTGCTCACTGTACCGATCTCAGCGCTTGAACGTACCGGAATGTGTGTGAACGAGCACGTCTGGGATGAAGACATCAGTCTTGGCTTCCGTCTTGCATATGTAAAATTGCTCCAGGAATGAATAGCCTAGGCTGTTTGTGTGCCAGGCTCTTCAACTGGGATCAAGACACAAAACATCGTTGTTGGGTGAGGAAGATGAGGTGCACGGAATGTGAAATCTTCCAGACAGTAGGGCAGGAGGAGAACCCTGCTGGTGCCAGAATACCTGCAAAACAGGAAAAAGACAGAGACTTAGCAGCAGTTTACATCTATTGCTTTTAGGCCTCTGACCAAGATCCCTGGAAGAACTTTTTCCTTCAAATGGAAATTTACCTCTTTGACTAGTCCCTTGGAAGAAGACCTCTAATTAGCAGACAGTCTGCTGATGGGGACCATTTGCAATAGGGAGGCAACGCCCTTTGCCATAACTATTGAAGGGATTAAAAAATCGAATAACAGTAAACACACACACACCTCTCCTTAAAAAAAATAAAAATTTCAGGGCTTCTCTGGTGGCGCAGTGGTTGAGAGTCCGCCTGCCGATGCAGGGGACACGGGTTCGTGCCCCGGTCCGGGAAGATCCCACATGACGTGGAGCGGCTGGGCCCGTGAGCCATGGCCACTGAGCCTGCGTGTCTGGAGCCTGTGCTCCGCAACGGGAGAGGCCACAACAGTGAGAGGCCCGCGTACCGCAAAAAAATAAATAAATAAATAAATAAAATAATAATAAAAAAATAAAAAATTCAGGGAAACCTAGATAACCCGTTTATCCCATCAACAATGAAGCTTGGCAGGTTGCTAATTAGAACAATTCAACAACTGTAATTCAGCGTGTACATTTAAGAACATGTTCAAGCTGCAGTGATTCAATTTCGCAAAACATGCATTCCATCAGGTCTGCCTGAGCATGGCCTCTCCATGCCATGATCTCAGAGAAACCGGAAGTGATTTATGAAGACTCCAAGGAGAACAGTCAGGGTTCGCCAGGCCCTCCCTTCTGTTGTAATCACAGAGAACTCCATGCTGTGTGGCGACCACACGCACAGTCCTGGGACGGGTCCTCCAAGGGTGACGTGGGTGACAGCAGGTTGGCTGTTGTGTCTACATTGATATATATATTTTTTTCTTTTTCATAAGAAAAAGGAGACTCACTTTTTATTTGGAAGTAAAATGTCTTTTTCCCTAAAGAAAATGTCTGTTTTCTTTTTTCCATCTGTAACAATTCATTTATATCTCCTCAAAATTAGAGTTTTTGGCAGGATTCCCTTACTTGCAGAAATACAAAACACAGAAAGTCTGCTATGAAATAAATAACTGAGAAGAAGTCGGAGCACACACGCGTCACCTTATTCCCCCAGACCCTCTCCAATGAGATTTATAGGCTCCCTTGGTGGATACGGGTCTCCGCTGGGAAAGGTCTACCCTTCTAGTCTCTGAAAACCATCCTGCTAATTCAAGGAGTGATTCGCCAGGTAGGTTTCAACTGGAATAAGCTTATGGAACATTTCAGCTGGTGTCAATTGTGTTGCAACCAAGAGATCAAGAAACAGAAATGAGAGTGATTTCTCCGCCTTGACAGTGGGATGGATTACGCAACGGATGGTAGTTAATTACTTACACGGTGTATAAGGATTCTGCGGCAGCCATGCCAGTTCTCTACATGGTAAATCAGAACCAAAGAATGTTTTGTTTCGTGGATAACTGGCTGTATTCACAGAAGAGAAAAAGATCTCTTATCTCAGAGGACCACATCAAACGGCTCTAAGAGAACGGTTTCATTTTAGAGAACCGTTATCTGTGACGGAAGCCCTGCTTTATTTAGCTACAATCTTGAACTCATCCCTCTTGGATTCTACAGCAGGGAGATACGAGCAACGGGCCGTTATTTTTTCGGGAGTCTTTCAGGCTACCCCCCAAAAAAAATAATAAGCTGCTTTCTTCAAAATAAACAAGAAACCATCTGCACAGGAGAAAATTGCACCCTGCTGCATAATCAACAAAGGCAATAATTAGAGTCAGATTAAGAAACAAAACAAAATACCTGAGGGGTACAGAGGGAAAAAATGACCCAAATGGTGCATCTGGGACCCGACGACACAAAGAAAGACTCAGAGTTCCAGTCTGTGATGGGATTTGAGGATTCCCAAGGAAAGCTCTCTCCAAATATCTCCCTGACAGTATGCCTAAAACTGCTTGCTCAGGCATCCTCTCACTGGGGTTGAAGGCTTCCACTTAGGGTCTCTCAGAGATAGTTCTGCCAACCTGGGAACACAGTGGCTTTTGGAAGAAGCCATGAGTAAATATAAACACCCTCTGTGCCGTTTTGCAAATCACAGATAAATAGTGGCTCTGAGAGGGCGGGTTCCTACCAAGGAAAGTTTTGTTTCAAGCACGGGAGGGTTAATAAGCTGGGTACTGCCAGGGGCAGATGGCCCAAAAGAGACCTGAGTGGAGCTGGATTCTGAAGGACCTAGGGACCGGCTGGCTAGAAAGGAAAGTGTGTAGACCAGAGTTCCGAGATGAGAAATGTCAAACCTTTCCACCTTCTGTATGCCCTGTAGAGGCAGGCTGGGCTACTTTAGGATGGAACCCTAACTTATTTTTGCATGACAAAGAGAGTACTTCTATTTTCATTCAAAAAAAAACACTTACCCTATGTGTTAGACTGAACAATTTTAAAAAGAAGTTTACTTAGCTGGGGTATAGTTGGATACTTCTGTTTTGTAGAATTCTACATTCTAATGCAGAATTTATCGGCCCCATGGCTCAAAGGCTTCCAGGTAACAAAATGAAGGTTCTTAAAGAAGGAGGCAGAGGGAAGAGTGAAACCCTATACCCCTCCCTCTGTGCGTCCCTCAGCCACAGGCTGGGGGAAGAAGAGACGCTTTGTATTGGACCCAAACTTGAAAGCGGGCGGTACCTTTCAATACCAGAAAAACGAGACTTTATCACAAAAAAATGAGACTCGTTTCCATAATTAGAAATGTCTGGAAAGCAACAGGGTATGGTCAAGTTGTCTTTAATGGTTAGGAAAAGGTCCTTAAGATGTAACGTGTGACGGCAGCGTTAGAGAAAGACAAAGTGTCTTCCTCTGCGTCAGTTCAGAACTGCACAACCCACGAGCTCCATTGTCATCCTAGCAGACCACAGGCACACCGCTTCTCTCTGTATCTCCATCGAACCAACTTCTCCAAGCAGCTGCCAGTCTCACTGCATCTTACCCTCTGTGTCATCAAGCATTACCCCAGCCGCTACTCTATCCAGCAAAGAAACTTGTTTCCATTATCGCCCTCCAAAGAGATTTTTGAAACGTTTTTCTCCTAATCAACACCCCCCGATTGACTAGCCTTTCAAGCCTACTCCTGGGCATATATCCAGAGAAAAACATGATTCAAAAGGATACACGCACCCCAGTGTTCAGAGCAGCGTTGCTTACAATAGCCAAGACGTGGAAGCGACGTAAACATCCGCTGACAGATGAATGGATAAAGATGTGCCATACATGTATGTGATGGAACATTTCTCAGCCATCAAAAAAGAATGGAACAATGCCATTGGCAGCTACACGGGTGGACCTAGAGATGATCATACTAAGTGAAGTAAGTCAGACATACAAAGACCAAGATCATATGTTATTCTTTATATGAGAAATAAAAAAAAAAAAAAAAAAGATACAAATGAACTTATTTACAAAACAGAAACAGACTCACAGACTTACAGAATGAATTTATGGTGACCGGTGGGGCAAAGGGTGGGGGGGAGGGATAGACTGGGAGTTTGGGATTGACACGTACACCCTACTACATTTAAAATAGATAACCAACAAGGACGTATGGGAAAAAATACAAAACAAAACAAAAAACACCCCGTGAAATTCTAATACCATGGATATCCCTGCATCTGTTTATATACTGTATTATTTCACGCTTTATACATAACATAATAAGATTTCTTTCCACTCTCTGTCCCCAAGAACATTTTCTGAGGATGCCTGCCTTAGACAACTCCCTGACTCCCTCTGCCTCATGTAAAATAAAGAAGTGAGTCTGGAGTTGGTGGTTTCCCATGTTGCATACGAAGGAGGCATAGGGTTGTACAGAGTAGTCTCCACGACCACCCAAAGGAGTGCCGGCGAGGCGCCATTTTGCCCAGCAGCCACAAGGGCCACCATCCACCCATCCCATACTCTGCATGCACACAACGGAGTGGGCCTTCCGATTCAACCTCAGCAGCTCCGCTGTCGTAGGTCTCCACTTCAGGGTTCTCTGCTTTATGCCAGTTTATAAAATTGGTTCAGGATTTTAAAAAAAAAAGTGAAAAGTCCTTTTGTCTCAGTGTACCTGAATGGCCCGCACACTTTCAGCTTCTGGCTCTGTTTAATAAGGTGACAATGCCTACGTGAATTTTACTAAAAAGGCAAGTATGTACTCATAAAGCCTCAAAAACGTTGGTGGGATCCCACCAGACAGGGAAAATGTTTCCTTTGTGGAGACTGTTCTGCGTGCCCCTCAGATCACTCCCATTGGCCCTTTGCTGATAAGCCCCACTCCATTCACCCCTGGAAGAGTCCTGCCAGTAATGAATATTTATAGCTTTATATATATTTTGGAAAAGAATTGAACCTATAATACAGCACGTAGCTGTTTTGGATTTCATTACATTTCAACTGCATTACACTCAATGCACTATAATGCATTCAGTGCACTACCTTCAGCTGCATTACATTTCAAGGCTATAACTGCAATTAAAATATGACAACACTGTGACATTTGATTATGATCTATCGGGGCCTTATTTCATGGTGAGCAAACCTCCATACAAGAGGTCAACGCCGTAACAATGCCACTGCTCTTCCCGTTGGTACAGCTTGCGACAGGATGATCCAGTCAACCACATCATTCAGTTGATTTGACACAAAAGCAATAGAACTGCAGACATAGATCCCCGGTGTCAGTCTACCTGAAATTCTTGCCCTGCTATGAAGAGCTGTTAAGCAGGAACAGACATATCTTCTTGTTAATGAATGAGATGTCACGGGAAAACAGAGGGGGGAGTGACTGACTCGGCTTAGAGGCTCCTGTGACAGGGTCAGGTGATTTTGAGCTGGGTTTTGTAGGGTCTCGCCAAGAAGAGAATGCAATAAGACTCCAGATACAGGAAATACCTTGATTAACACATCCCAGGAGGCTTCCCGTGTATGGTATTGCCATCTAGCTCTTGGATTCT